TTGCAGCGGAAAAAGTGGAGCGCACAAAGTGGAAATTCATGCAGTTGTTTATATTTTCGTAATTTTTTCAGTTAGTGGTGTTTTTTTGTAATTTTCTTTGAGTTTAAACAAATTTGTAGTTGCTACCGCTGCCAACACTGCATCAACACATTGCTACAGTCGCCGCTGTTGGCGTTGTTACCGAATAACGAATTTTTTTTGCATAAACGGCAATAAAAGGTAACTAAACATTGCAACATTTTTAGAAAATTGACTATCGTATTTGTAGCATTCTTTGTGATAAGAAAATAAGGTTAATTAGTGCAGCTATTTATTCTCCTGAATGCGCGAACCCCAACAATGATTGCTTGACTTATATCTATAGGTACTTACCTACATAAATTTGTACGTATAACCTTTCCAATACAGTGCGCAGGCAAAAATAGCCAATTGGAACAATAAAACCACAAGCAAATGTCGTCAGAAGTATGATTGTTGATTTGGTATATACTAAACAATTGTGCATACATGTGTATATAAATGTATTGCGCGATTTTTACTTTCAGAGATAATTTTTGATGATTCGCAAGCATTCAACGTACCTATGAACTATGTACATATGTTTGTATGATTGTTCTTTGTTTTTATTAACGCTGTCGCTGAGTTCTAGCGCATAGCTGCAAATTTAAACAAATTCATTACCGGCAGCAATATAAACTAAATTTTAATCTTATCATTGCAGCCTTGTAACAAACAAACTCAAGCAAAATGATTAAGCTAAGGAATTTATCGAACGTTATCAATAACACAGCAGTACGGTAAGCAAGCTAATTTCATTTGATTATATACAGTTTATTTTTAACTATCGTTTTTAACTTATTTTCGTATTTAATTTTCCAACCAGCTCCATAGCTACCTCAGCACCACTCAACGAAGCCGATTCATGGTTTTCTAAGTTGTTGGTGCGTAAAATTGAGCCAACTAAAGAATCACACAGTCGCATGCTTAGTGATAAGGAAATCATTTATGCCTTGCATACGCACAATGTACGTCCCGGTTATATGGATGACTATTTGAAGAATTAGTGAGTGATATTTGCATAGTCGGAAAGCCTGCTGTTAACTGTTTAAGAGCGGGTTCTGATGATTATTCTTTTACATTCCAGCAAAACTTCTGTACAATTGGTTAATGAAAAGAAGGCAAATTTATCATGCAACTTGGTCGCTTCTTGGACCGTACATGTCGGTGATATGGATCAGTGTTTGCATTTATGGAAGTACACTGGCGGTTTTGAAAAGATCGATATTGCCAAGGAAGATTTGTGGAATGATGAGGTTAGTAGATTTTTTAATTAGCGTTGCTTTTAAAATCAATACATACCTATATTTTAAAGGAGTACATGAGTTTAATGAATGAGCGCATAAAATATTTACGTTCACGTCATTTACAATATTTGTTGGCCTTCAGCTACTGGCCGAAAATCGAAAATCGTCCAGACAAACATATCTACGAGATGCGGTAAGCTTAAGAAAACACAAAAACATATCTTAACTTTTAAAAGTATTTTTTAAATTTCCTTAAACCAGTTCATATCGATTAAAACCCGGCACAATGATTGAGTGGGGCAACAATTGGGCGCGAGCCATTAACTTCCGTAAACATAACAACGAAGCTTTTGCCGGTTTCTTCTCACAAGTCGGCCGTCTATACAATGTGCATCATATTTGGTGTAAGTCGCTTACAAAATTATCTTTGTTGCTATTTTTATTTGCATATATGTATGTACATTCTTCTTTTATTGCTATGTAGGCTACAAGTCTTTATTGGACCGTAAGGAGACACGTGAAGCCGCCTGGCGTTCACCCGGTTGGGATGAATGTGTTGCCTACACAGTGCCACTCATTAAAGATATGCACACACGCATTTTAGCTCCTACTGAGTTCTCGCCAACACAGTAGAGCAAAGTTATAATACGTAAACAGATGTAGCCAACTTTTTCTTTTTTATTGCCAGCTACTTTATTTTTTAAGCAATTCTATGAAATGGTGTGTAACATACACATACTTATTTAAAAAGCTGCTGACGACACACACTCGTCAGCATAATACGCACAATATTGATAACTAACAAACGCTTCACATCATGTCAACATTTTATAAATTTTGTGTTATTTTCTGATTTTTTTTCTATAATCCGCATAGCTAAGTTTAAAGTATGTATCTGCAATTGTTGAGCTTATTTAGTTAATATTCTATAAAAGAAAAGAAAAACTGCATATGTGTATGTGTTTATAGCCAACCAATTTTTATCATGAATAGTTGTGCATAACTTGTTGCTACGCATCCGAAAATTGTTACTAAAAATCAAAATTGTAATTGTTATAAAAATATGAAATAAAGTGTAATAGTGAGAAATTATAAAACCATCTATGTATACTTCAAAGTGGATGAAATGGTCTTTGAGTTTTGTCTAAAAAGTCGCATGCTATAAAAAATGTCATGCTAGATTTTATTTATCGCTAGTCCCAGAAATCGGTCGCGTAACAGGTCGTCGCAGAAACACCAGGCGCCCAGAACCGTGTAGCAAGCATTCTGCCAGTGTTGCCACATAATTTTTGATCACCGCAGTTGGCAATTCCCGCCAAACTAAAAACTAGTTGGCAACTGCCAAACTGAAAAAATAGGTGGCAGCGCCGCGTCAGACAATTCAAAAACCCAAAAAATTAGTCGTACAAAAATTTCATTATAATATTTTATTAACATCAAAACTGAACTTACATTAGGAAATAAACGAGCAATTAACTTTGTTTAACGTTCAATAAACCAGAAAGATAAAAAATATTGTATCGTGAAACCGGTACAGAAGCCCGCGCCAATGTCAACAAAAACATTTTCAATTTCGCAACAATCGGCAATTTCTTGCTGACTTTAGTTGGCAACGCTTTGTATATTTCATTTGTGTTGACGTACTGCCAGCTGGTGCATTTCATTCCTGCACGTGTCTCAAAACAAAATTTTTTGTAAAATACGTAAATAAATTTACAATAAATCGTCGAAAAGTTAGCAGGAAAGTCGTCACATCAATAACATTCACATCTCCGTACAATCAAACAAAGGCACATCATGGAGTACATAGAGCCGTCATCGCTACCCACAAAAACCACCATGATCCTGTGTTGTGAATGTGGCGTTCCAATTGAACCCAATCCCTCAAATATGTGTGTGACATGCCTACGCAATCACGTCGACATTACAGAGGGTATACCCAAGCAGGCGGTGCTACATTTCTGTCGCAACTGTGAACGTTATCTCCAACCACCAGGCGAATGGGTGACAGCAGCTTTGGAGTCGCGCGAATTGTTGGCATTGTGTCTTAAGAAATTGAAAGGGTTAAAAGAAGTTAAACTCGTCGATGCCGGCTTTGTCTGGACTGAGCCACATTCTAAGCGCATCAAAGTCAAGTTGACAGTACATGGTGAACTTTCTGGAGGTACTGTACTGCAACAGGTTTTTATAGTGGAATTCACGGTGCAGAACCAAATGTGCGATGATTGCCATCGTACTGAAGCAAAAGATTTTTGGCATTGTTTAGTGCAGGTACGTCAACGCGCCGAGAATAAGAAGACATTCTATTATTTGGAGCAGCTGATTTTGAAACACAAGGCACACGAAAATACGCTGGGCATAAAACCGCTGCACGGTGGCTTGGATTTCTACTATGCCAATTTCAACCATGCAAAGAAAATGGTAGATTTCTTGCAGTACATGGTGCCAGTAAAGGTGAATACCTCCAAGCGACTGATTTCGCACGACATCCACAGCAACAATTATAATTACAAATATACCTGGTCAGTGGAGATAGCACCGCTATCGAAGGACAGCGCTGTTTGTTTATCGAAGAAACTGCGCCAACAGTTGGGTAATATTTCGCCAGTTTGCTTGGTGTCTAAAGTTGCAACAGGTATTCATCTGATCGATCCAATGACTGCACAAATATCGGAGTTGCCAGGGCAGTTATTCTTCCGCAATCCGTTCGAGGCGCTTTGTGATCCAAAACAGTTGGTTGAGTACGTTGTTATGGATATTGAGCCTATTATGGAAAAAGACAGAAAACACAGGCCAGGTCAGGGCCACATTTCCTTCCGGCACGTGCTGTGTGACATTTGGGTAGTGCGGTCGTCAGAGCTTGGCATCAACGATAATACGATACATACACGTTCACACCTTGGCCATTTGCTAAAGGTAGGCGATTCTGTGATGGGCTACAATTTGGGTGAAGCAAACTTGAACAATACTGAGTTTGAAAAATTATCTTCTGATGAAATACCGGATGTTTTGTTAGTACGCAAATGCTATGCAGATCGTCAGACTCGCGCCAACACTCGAAATTGGAAATTACGTCATTTAGCTGAAGAAGCAACTGATGAACGCAGCAAACACGACTTTAATGAATTTCTTGAAGATTTGGAGGAAGATGTTGAGTACCGTAAGCAGATTAACATCTATCGTGATGCTAAGAAATCGCTGCCGGTGGATAGCAATGACACACAAGCTGCAAATGATAGTGTCCCGCATATTACGTTGGCGGAAATGCTGGAAGATCTGGTGTTGGAATGCGAAGATGATGCAATGGGTGAGGAAAATGTTGAAGGTGACAAAATCGGTGAGCAATGAACAACCACTGCTCCTTTTTTTAATTATGTATGGAATTTTAACTGAAAATTTTTAAAAGTTATCAAGAAAATAAACGAAAATTAGAGAATAATGAATTAGAAACTAATTTTATCCATCTGCTTTCACTTACCTTAAATAATTTCAATGGTGCAATTATTTTTGCCATTGGTCAAGCAGCTGCTTTATCAGTGGCAAAACATGCTTGCGGGTGGCCTTTATATTAACCATCTTGTAAAAGGTGCCGCTGAGAAAATTACAGTTGTCGTATTGCTGCAAGCAGAGCGCCGGTTCGGTAGATGCTAAGAGCTTTTGCCGTATGGCCGCGCACAGTTCGCTACAACCTATGTCTATGCAGCCCAAATCACGTTGTACGCCTCCATCTTTGACAAGCATTCCCATTAGAACTACTATTGCAGAATTGGTTTCCTTGGCAAATTCTTGAACAGCACTTGCTGCATCCTCTTTTTCGATGAACTGTTGCACCAGCAACGGAAATCCTGGTATGGCGATATTTAATTTAGCGTCGTTAGTAGTTAGTATTTTTAAATCTTTGCGTAGAAGTTGCAACGATGTTAAGCTGCTTACATCTGCACGCGCTGCTACTAGTGAATCAAATAACTGGGTTCGCTTAGTTCCCACCTTATCGACAGGCAGCTCTTCCAGAAATTCCTCAAGCCTCATACATATTTCAACATCTTTTGTAGTGGCCCGATTTGCCGATTCACTGAAATTTACGGTGTCCAGCACAATCGTGCTGTGAAGCATGGTCAAGACTGGTTCAATCTCAGCTAGTTTTTCTTGTGTTGCTGATGTATACGACATTAATATATGCTCTGCAATTAGAGTGGCGCATGAGCCAACTAATTCTATACGGGTCTTGCAACTAGTCGGTAACTGCGCTTTGTCATCGAGCGCTCGATGATCGAAAACTTCTACGCATCGCGCTGCAAAAGGGCTGACATGATGATCTACCAAAATAAGGTCACTACGTTCCAAAAATTCGGGTTGTAACTCATCCCGAAAAGTTAAATGTTCTTCGTTAATTGCTTGTTGGCTTAAGAGGTAACGTACTTCAGTTTTAAGAGGATAATCACGACGCGGGATGTTGAGGACAGGCAGAAAGTTTTTGGTATTCCGACTTTCTTGTTGATAATGAAAAGCTAGAGCAATTGCACACACAGCGGAATCCAAATCACAAGACTCATTGCCCAAAACGATGCAAATGGCTTCCTAGAAAAATAACTCCTCAAAATATAACCTAACTTTTATCTACTTATTTACGTACAGTGGAATTCACGAACTTTCGGGTTTGCTTCAGAAAATTTAACATGATTTTGTGTTGAGATTTCGCACAGGATGTACAAAAATTAAATTATGAACTTGTATAAAAATGCGCGAGTTTGCAAAATTGCCACTGTAAACAAAAAGCTGCAGGCAGCCGGAGCCAACAGCTGATTCTAAATTACTGCGCCGACGAACTTCTAAAAGAGACTGCGTTTTTATTACAGAAAATTGACGGGCGAGTGGACAGAATTAATTAAAAATTTTAACTGACGCATTTTATTACAAAATAATTCTAAAATAAATGGCCCTTTTATGTATGGCAACTGGTGTCTAGTTGCCGGTCTAGTAGCCGTGGATACCAGTATCGTACTTTGTATTATGTATAGCGATTAATCTCAATATACAGAAAAACGCACACAACATCCGAATTTATTTTTTTTGACATGGGCATTTGCTCCAATGCGTTTGAAAGATTCTGTAAACAAATAACAAAATCGTTATAAGCGGGAAACAGGAAATTGCGCCACTAGACTCGGTAGCCGACGGTTGCCATACGTAATGCGATTTTTTGTATATGGTTGGCCATCGGCTATCAGTCGCCATACAAAATAGGGCCAAAAATCTGCTATAAATGCAACCTATGAATTACCACTACTTGTTGCCGTGGCGACTAGTAATGCAGGATCTGGTTTTGCACGTTTCGGCAATGTCGCCGCCCGCAGGTAAGGATTATCTATATTCGGGTTCTCCAAAATTGCTTTATTGGTAGTAGAATTAGGCTTGATATCATTTTCCGGCTTAGGTTCCTTGTCACTTTTGGCATCCGTTTTCATTTCACCATCCCCATCCTCTTCATTACCACTTTCATTTTCGTCATTGTCATCTATAATACAACAAATGTGTATATGAATAAACGTATACATTTAAGAAATTTCAAGTGCATTAAAACCTTTTGCGGTTACATCTTCTGTGCGATTTGCGACTAAATAATGATATTCCAGCTCCTCGAAATCAAACACTTGATCAGTGGGATTTAGGGCCGCTAGGTAGGGTGGAAATGCTGGCTTGCAAGCAATCACTGTGGAGATCAATTATTATATATTGATTCTTTACACGATTATACATTAAATTTTACTTACAAGGAAACATATTATCCTCATTATCAAATAAACTATGCGTTTCCGATGTCTTGGAAAGAAATTTCGTTAATGCTTTCTCCACATCGCGCTTTTGTGTAGCTGCTTTTTCGCGTATAGCTTCGTATTCCGTCACTGGTTGCTTATGGGTCTTTTGTATTGAATTTTTTATCGAAATGCTAAATATGACTATGTATTTGATTTATTGGCTTACCGGCGTGCGAACATAAGCATGTGGATCGGGTAACGCTGGCAAATAGTTAGGAACATGCGGAGGATGTGAAGATTTGGTACCCGCTTGTAGCAAGTTTAATTGCTTCTGCTGAGATGCTTGTGGTGGCAATGGGATTATTTGCCGCCCCTCACGCTTAGCAAACGCTTCGATACCTTGCATTGAGATGCCCATGTTGACAAGCGCCACTACCACATCACCCACTACGGGTATGGTACGACCGGAAAGCTCGCAATAGCTACGCGCTGATTGTCCAACTTCCACGAGTACTTTAGTGGGTAGTTTAAGAAATAAAATGGAAATATATTTATATTAAAAAACTTACAACTTTGTAACATTTCAGTAAGCGTCTCTAAGCACTCCTTGTCCACACTGTCAAATCCCTTTTCCATAAGAATTTGTGACACCGCCAGGCCTAGAATTTTACGTCGCGGATTAGATGATTGTGCCGAATCGATCTTATCCATTGTTTATCAAATGCCCTTTTCAGAAAACCAAATCTATTGTTTACAAAAATATATTCATGTTCTTCTTCTTACTTTTGGTAAGGTTCGCAAAACGAAGCAGAAGAATGATGTTGCCAGTTTAAAATTGGGGAGGGCAACATAGACCTTACTGCCCGTCTCCACAAGATAAAGTTTATATCTTGATACATATGTTGGAATATAAATAGCCAATGGAGACCGCTTATTGCTCTTCAAGAGCAATATATATCAGAGTTTATATCTTGCCATCTTTTGCCAGCAATTTGATAGTTTGAAAGCTACATTTTCATTTGCACGAAAACTTTGTTGCTGAAACATTATTATTTTAATATAAAAGCAAAAATTGACTTTTGTTCCTGTTAAAATATTTGTAATTATGTACTTGGATGTAAAATAGCCTCTTTTAAAAATTTTTTAAACGATTAAATCCGGCAAAAATACATTTTCGAAGCTATCTTATAAATGTTTATATTAAGATATAAAAAGCCCACACAAATATTGCCACTGATATAACATATCTAGCGACCAAAATGGCAGCTGGGCAGCAATAAATTTTATCCTGTGGAGACGGCAAGTTATAGGCAAAATACAGCATACGGTACGATGGGCAGACCACGTTGTTGGCAACATACAAGGCAATAGGCCGGCCGGTTTTAAACTACGCAGCACCAGTGTGGTCGCCGGGGACTAGTAGGACGCAGTGGACGAAGCTACAGACGGTACAAAATACAGCACTCAGGACAGCGACAGGATGCCTCCTGATGACACCAGAACACCACCTCCACGATGAGGCGAAAATGCTCCCAATTAGGGAGCACAACACGATGCTCTGCAAGCAGTTTCTTGTTGGGAGCCACAGATGTGGCCACCCAAATAGACAGCTGCTTGCAGAGGAGCCCTCGCCGAGGCACGTCAGGAGGCATCTATATGAACTGACGGACCAAGTACAGAGGTTCATTAAGCAGCCTCTGGACCCGTCAGCTCACAGACAGGCCCTGAACGGCATTCACAGGCACGTAGTCTCGAGTTATGTAGACTCAAGACCTGTGAATGCCGTTCTAGGCACACAAACACCGGACATAGACGCCACGGAGCTCCATCTGCCTCGGAAGACCAGAACAACAATAGCCCAACTTCGCTCTGGCTACTGCAGCAGGCGAAATTCCTACCTGAGTAGGTTAAATGCGGATTTGCCGAACAAATGTCCGGCATGCGGAGAGACCCCTCACGACTCGAAACATCTCTTCGCATGCCCGCAAAACCCCACAACCCTAACGGCGTCGTCCCTATGGACCGACCCCATAGAGGCTGCACGCTTCTTGGGGCTGCCGTTAGTGGAACTCGACGACAACGACTGAGATATCAGCCGATCTGGGCGGGGTTGTTGTAGCCGCTACAACAACAACAGCAACATGGGCAGACCATGGTCTATGTAAAATCCAAAAATTTTAATTGTGGTCGCCGATGCGCAGACCGAGTGTGTTTCCATGGAGTGTAGACGTGCGCGGATTAAAATGGAGGAAGATAAACAACTTCGGTTAAAATGTTGGGCGCATATTCATAGTCATATTTAGTACTCAACTAAGTCGGAACTATTCTAAGTTACAACTAAAGCTATTCATAGTCGCCTTAATTTCGACTCTTCTGGCTAAGTACCAACTTAAATTTTAGTTTCGGCTGCAGCTGCAACTAATATTACATTTACATTGGACCAAAATGCGTGATTTGAAATCAGTCATTTGAAGGTGTTTACACTGCTTGATCGCATTTGCTTTGACTTCAAAGACAAACCAAAGCTTTTGTGGAACTTTTGTTTCTGAGTGCGTTCAATAAAATAGTACGGCAATTGGAACGCATTTGTTCGTGATTTTGTGTAAATGCGTCGAAATGCGTCATTCTGGAAATGTGAATTTGTATGGAGAAATGCGTGATTTGGCCTCGCATTTGAGGTTTCTCGCCCAAATGACGCATTTGGGCTCAATGTAAATGTAATATAAGTCGTAACTAGGAAGTATTTTATCAAATTAAGACGAAATATGTAAAAATTAAGTTGGTAGCAAGGCGCATCAATTACAGGTGATAGCGATAGAAGCTATGCTTCTTCTTATGAGCACGCTTATGTCAAATTATCGTCTGTTTTGCTTTATTTACATATCCGCGTACACATACACATATACGTATATATACACCCTGCAAACAAATGCTCCCGAAATCTTCAAGAGTGTCGGAAATTTGTTACGATTCTTTTAGAAATCTGTAAAGAAAAACATATGAAGCGTTTGACAAGAACTAGTAAAGAAATTTCTGTACGATTTCTTAAAGAAAGGCTGCATTTCTTTATTCATTCTGAGCGTTTGGAATAAACTTTTTTGTTTACTTATTCTTTAGAACATTCCTGATGATATTATAACGTATATCTCAAACGCATTCTGTTTATTCCGGCTGTGAAATGGGATTATCCGGAATGTATAAAGAAACGCAGCCAATAAGTCAGTTTCACGCTAGTTCTTTTAAAGTAAATTTGTGCATAACATTTAGATATCTACTATTTGTATGTTTCACAGCATGCTTTCGATAAGCATTGACTTCACATCACTGCGGTTGTTCTGGCTATTTCACACAATTAACAAGAAAATGATACCTTATTCTTTAGCATAATCATGCAATGAAGTAAAAATTACATAAACGGATGATCAAACTTGACATTATTTAATAAAAATGTAATTTTTGCAAAATATCGTAAAGAAAAATCGATACATTTTCACACTCGTTTTGCTATATTGTAAACTAAGTCGAAACTACTTAGTAGAAGTCTGAAATGTGACTATGAATAGAGGTAAATTTTAAGTTGGTACTTAAATTTAAATTGCAACTTTGTTAGTTCGACTTAGTTGCTGGACTATGAATACGCGCCTTGATTTCTTTTTTTAAATGTCTGCATGGTGTGCGGCTAATTGTATTGCAGGCGCATCGCGGTGAAAGTACTCGCGATGCGCAGACATACTATGTGGTATATTTGGCCTATTAGAAAAGGGTGAATGGTTGATGGTTGTGTGCGTTGCGGGTTTGTTGTTGGTTGTTGCATCACGATTCATAAAAAGTGTTACTCAACTCCCTGTGGTGCCGAAGCCCTAGGCATGCCTTTAGATGACACCAGTTGTTGCAGCGGACTGAGGTTGAGTGGTGTATGTTGCATCGGCCAACACTATAGACCCAAGGCCCGGGGTTTTATTCTATGCCGGCGCGGGCCAGTAGTGTACGGAGCACATATGCCGGTGGGTCATGCTCCCATGGCAAAAAAATGGGAGGTTGCTGCTGTGGGGATGGTCCTTGGCCGGAGTGTGTGCTCCGAGTCAATCCAGTAACGTAGAACTGACCGATGACTGACTTTGGCGCCTTCTCGCGGTATTCGCTGGAAATTAAGCAGCCATGAGGCCCAGACGATCCATATTGGGAATAACAATGGAGGAAAAAATTTTCATGCGAAATTTGCCTAAGTACCGGGTTTCGATACGAGTATTTTTTTTCGATACCTACCCAATACTTGGTTCAAAAATATCGATACCAAAATACGAAAAGTATCGAGTGTGTACTTGAATTTACTCGTATCGTTCCATCCCTAATTCATCAGCAAATAAAAGCAAACGCAATATCAGGTATCAAAAACCAAATTAATTATAAGAAAAACAAAATATTTTAATTTTTATGTATTTTTTTCGCTTTTAGCTGAGAGCAAAACTAAAATTAATTTGCACAATTTAATTAGCAAAGTGTAAGTTCGTCAAACGAAAAATCGTTTGGTGTTAAAACTGTTCAGCAACATAGAAAAGATAAGTGGCGAATACAGAAACAAAGAAAAAAACTTTATATCCGAAGGCAAGAAAAAAGGCTGACTGAAGAAAATTGAAATTATTGGCATATTTTCTTCCAGAGCAATACGCAGTTAGTCCAACTGAAATTTCTGCTAGTTTTCCTGTCTCCAACATGCAAAACGCAGACCTAGAGGCATTGAATGCCGTAGAGAAAGAGTTAGATCGTGTAATATCTAAATTTCAAGATATACGTGAAAATGCTACCGCAGAAATTGCGGATGTAGCTACGTTATTGGAAGAGTTGTTAAAGGTGCTCAACGAGGCTGAGCAGGAGATGACTGGCACAATAAATACCAGTACACAAGTGGATGCGCCTTCCGATGTAGATGATCCAATGGCTGATGAAGCCGAAATGCAGGTCGAAATGGAACGTAAGTCGCTATCGAACAGAGTGCAATTTATATTCGAATTTAATTATTTTCTTTAGCGGCAAAGCCACGACTCAACGAGTGCCAAGTGAAGCACGTATTGGACACATTGCACAAGGCCAACGAAAAATTGCAACGGCTTTCGGCGGAACATCGTGATTTGCACGGATCAGTGTCAAAAGTGGGCAAAGCAATCGATCGCAATTTTGTTTCCGATTTCACGGCTACAACGCGCGTCGATGCACTGCAAGATGAAGACAACTTGATGTTGCTAAACAAAGTAATGGCAAAGCATTATTGTCGCCAGGGTATGGACGACGTTGCACGTCTACTAATTAAGGAGTCTGGCATGCCCGAAGAAATGGCGCAAGAAGTTTTCGACTCAGAAAGCAGCTTCGCTGAAATCTATCGCATTTGGAAGGGTATACAGCAACAAGAATTGGGACCTGCACTAGAGTGGGCAACACGCTATTCCAACGAATTGATTGCTAAGAATTCGACTCTTGAATTCAAACTACATCGCTTAGCATTTTTGCAAATCATGTCGCGTGGTATAGGCGCACAAGCGGAGGCGATCGCTTACGCCCGCAAAAATTTTAACAAGTTTATCGATCGCTTCGAACATGAAATACCAAATTTAATGGGATGCTTCATTTATTTGCCCATGGGCATAGATAAGTCGCCGTATAAGCATTTGATCTCGCCACAAGTGTGGATGGAGGCATCATATGTATTTATGAAAGACGCCTGCCATACATTGGGTATCAGCAAAAATTCAGCATTATCTGTGGTTATTAACGCTGGATGCACAGCTCTGCCAGCATTGCTCAATATTAAACAGGTAAGTGTTAATGTGGATTTTTATATAAAAAAAATTATGTTGAAAATATGTTCTATTCTTCAGGTTATGCAGTCACGTCAGGTGTTAAGCATTTGGAATGCGCGTGATGAGTTGCCAATAGAGATTGATCTTGATCCAGAGTATCGTTATCACTCGATTTTCGCTTGTCCCATTTTACGCCAGCAGACCACGGAGGATAATCCGCCAAAGCGATTGACGTGCGGACATGTCATCTCCAATGATGCATTGCATAAGTTGAGTAATGGTCATATACTCAAATGTCCTTACTGTCCCGTCGAACAGAACGCCGATGATGCTGTGCGAATCTATTTTTAAACAGCCAAGCTCATACACAAATTTATATCTTTCTACACATCATAACGAAATTTTTCTGCTCTTTTCATTGGATAATATTTTAATTAAAAATCATTAAATTTACGAAATGTAATGAATAAGAAACATAAGAAATAACTGCAATTGCAGTTTAATTCAATCGATAATTCGCAACAAATCGACTGAAATATTATTATTTAAGTTGATGTAATTAATGTATTTAGTACAGTTCTGTACTTTTTTTGAGTTGAAAATATATTACTTTTAGTTTGAAAATTGAGCTCACGGTATCGTTAAGATAGGAGTCCCAATTTATTTCGTGCAGAACGCAGCAGCACCGGTATTTTTTGCAATGAGTTACCTACATAAATATCACCCGAGTATAGGCATTAAACTAAATGGTCACGCTGTTACAGCATGAAATAATGGCGGATCCACTTCCGGCAACGCGGTGTCCTCGTGATTGTGTATAAGCTTAAAGAGTCCGGTACCGATTGAGGCGGGCATGCCTAGGATAATACGCTCGGAGACGCCATCAACAGCATCGGTTTGGCCAAAGTACGCGGCATCGAATAGGTGATCGGCGGTTTTTTCGAACTGCAATATATTATAGCATGGTATAAAGGGTATTTTTTTAGTATAGACGAATCACAGATACTGGCGAGTTCTTAAAAGAATGATATTTAAAAAGGTTAGGCTCAGGCGTATGAAAATTTACAAACGACGGGCTTTGAATTAGGAATGATGCTAGCGGTTTAGACTTTTTACTTAATTAAATATTAAAAAATTGATTATATTCGAAATAAAAAATGCATACTTAATAGAATCTGAATTCAAATTTACATACATAATATTTCATAGGAAAATGAAATATTCTCCACTCACCGATGCTAAATTGAATACAGACTCTCGCATCTTCGCCAAACCATGCCGAGTTATACCCAAAACTTCACCACGTGACGTCATCTGGCTTGCCAGCAACATTACATGACGATGATCCACAGTCATGCCGTGGCCCTCCATTACATCTGTGATTTCAGTCATAATAGTGGTACGTGCTGCTTCAATACCCAAAGTATTATACACTTCCCAGATGTTGTTACTTTTGGTGCGTGCGCCCACAACGCCGAATGTGGCCATAACATCACGCAAACCAGCGCCTTCAATGCATAACTTATAGGTTGGCGGTGAGTGTGCGTCGTCTATAGCAATGACAGCGCGTGAGATGTTCGGCAAACCAGCTACGACAACATTTTGTATGGAAATGGTTAGACGTTGTAGCTCAGCATTGAGTGAGGCACCATGTTTTGAGGTATCAATATGTACTGTGATCACTGACGCGCCGACAACATCCACTAGCGCTGGCTTGATTCGTAGTTTGGAGGTGCAAATCCTAGTGTAAGGTGACAGTATTATTTTAAGCATTGCATTATTTACAATTCTGTGGTTACAAGCAATAACGGCCTAAGTTGACTTAAGAAAGAATGGAGTTGTATATGCTATCGTATTCTTCAACTACTATTCCATGCGTATGTGAAATACCCATCGCGCCAGCTAGACTACTTAGAAAGTTATGGTCGAAAATATTTTGGTTTCCCGACAAGGGGATAGCATTACAATCCGAATGTTTAAAAAGTTTTTTCTCGAATTCAGGTTTTTCGACTTAGGCGGCTATTGCTTATGACCAAAGAATTAAGAACGCTATACTTACGAATAACGTACAGTTTCGGCGTTAATCTCTAAGCCTAATACTTTAATACGATTCAAGTCTAAACGTATGACTAAGAAGCAGTCATCTGACCTGTAAACTTCCTCAATGTACGATGAAATCTATGCGTGTGTGATAAGTATTAATAAAATATTTCAAAGCCTCAAAAGTTTGGATCTTACCTCCCCTAACGTGGTCTTCTCAATACGCGACTTTACTTTACGCGCAAATTCCATGCTAATGTTATTCTCAATTTCCGCTGTTATAATTGGCGTTGAAATGGTTTTGGTAGCGTTTATAATCTCAACGATACGCGGTACACCCTGTAGATTAAAAATAATGAATAATAGTCTCAAACTCAGTAATCATTTTAAGTTCTATCTCAGCACCTGTGTAATGTTCATGGAGGCGACACCAGCAAAATGGAACGTCTTCAATGTCATTTGTGTGCCCGGCTCACCGATACTTTGCGCCGCTACAGCCCCTACAGCAGTGCCAGGCTCAGTGACAGCGCGATTGTATTTGTCGTTTACCCAACGCATGAAAGTACGAATTTGTTCTTCGGTGAGACGTTCAATTTCATGTGCCAATTTCGGATGTCGTCTGTACTTTGCTTGTACGCCAGCGATCTTTTGAGCCACCTTATCAATGAAGGAGCTGTGCAGAGGAGTTGAATGGAATTAACTTACAAATATACAATATATGTACATGCTTTAAATAACTTTTTCTTACATAATTTCGTTTTGAAAATCTTTTCGGCTCATGGTGAATTCGTCTTCTGAAATAATTTTACGTGCTACAGGCGGAATTTCAGATGCAGGTAGTGGTGTACCCTTGCGATCCGGTACAATGGCGCGCAAATGATTTAATTGACGCACCATATCCACTGGCTTGTTTTTGACTTCCATGAAAACCGGATCTAAACCGTCACCACCGTAAATAAGCTCGACTATTTCACCAATTGCGTTGCGTACGGAGCCATCGTAATGCACTACCAGATCTTCCAGACACTACATAAATACAATAGATTGGCAAAAGATAGAAGAATATAAAAAATAGCATTCATTTATTATATGTAACTTGATTTTTCTTGTTTGACAAACAGACAATTACCTTCACCAAACGACGCTGGAGATAACCAGTTTCCGCCGTTTTTACAGCTGTATCGACCAAACCTTCACGACCAGCCATCGTGTGGAAGAAGAATTCCGTAGGCGTAAGACCAGAGTAAAAACTATTTTGCACAAAACCACGCGCCGCCGGTATAGCCGCTAAAAAAAAATATAAAAATTGAACATTGCGAATTTATGAATTAAAGCATTTTAAATGGAAAAGTTTTTGTGGGGCAATTTATCTGCAAACTTACAGAACTTCTCGAAATGTGGCAGCGCACGATTTTCAAATCCATTTGGCACACGCTTGCCGTTTATGGCCTGCTGCCCGACACAGGCAATCATCTGTGAAATATTGATGTTGGAACCTTTCGAACCGGATAGTGCCATAATAAGTGCACTGTTTGTGGGATGTAGTTCACGGAAGCAAGCTTTAGCTGCCTGTTCGCGAATTGAGGAGAGTTCACGCAACATTACTGCTTCGAGCGTTTGTTCTGGCGTACAACCGGGCTGACATTGTAATGTACCCTTTTTCATCTCTAAAATGTATTCATCGCATTTGGCGTAGCCTCTTTCCAACAATTTTTGTTTTTCCTCAAGCAGTTTATTGCTAGGTGTAACATCGCTGATTCCAAAAGAGAAGCCACGATTTTGTATGAAAAATGAAGCGATCTGTTAATGTAAAAATTAAATTAATAGCTGCTTGTAAAAACAAATAAAGTTCTAATAAATATTCGAATGTAAAATAAATGAAACTTTATTTTTGTTATTTATTAATCTCTAAATCAAATATGTAAGCGATTTCCGCTGTAGAATCTATGAATGAGCAAATCGCCAAGAATAAATTACTGACATTATCGATGTAAAGCGTAAACTTTTCCAAAACAAGTAGTATTGCTTAAAATTGACGCCGGATTTGTAAAGAAATTACATACATATTTTCTGTAATCAGCTGAGAGTTGTCTTATTATTTTTTTTGCAAGCAAAACATGCCATCTACACTATAATTAAGAGAGCGGGCACCTGTTGGCCGATAAGATATTGAATAACAACATTTGTTGAATGAATTAAACAATTAAAAAGTACAATAAGGCATTTAAGAGATAGCAAGTAAGAGCTTCAACTTTTTAAACAATTTATTGTGATAAAAATACCCATAGTATAGATACGTCTTAATCGTCGGAGCTGGTAAGCATTTCACAAGTTATAAAACTTGGTAATGGCCAACGCGTCAGAGCAGTTTAACGTTATTTGGCAAAGTGCTAGCGTTGTTGTGTTATTCGCGGTAGGTGCTATTTAACTTCTCGGAACAATGAGACTTAAACTTCTGCCATTCTTATACCTGATGGTGATACTTGCGACTGTGCAAGGCTACGTTGGGCCTGATATCAGGCTAGGGCAAATTGTGAGTTAAAGAATAAATGAAGTCATTGAATTTGGTGTGGAAACAAAAAAAAATATTAAGGTTTGTGTGATGGTACGCAAGAATCATCACAATTTTTTGTGCGCGCGTAAAAAATCTTTAAGATGTTTCCTAAAAAACAAAAAAAAAAAAAATCCTGCATGAAAACAATTGTTTTTAATGTGCCCAAGCGTTATTACATACAGAGCTAATAACAAAAACTAACCAAAAGATAACACAGGGACCAATATTTAAAAAAATTTAAATTGTTTGGATGGAAGCGTAAAATGCGCTTGCCTTATAACTGCAACAACAGCATAGTTGGCAACGCAGACAGCAACCACAGTTAGATTGTCACTTCCTTCCGTCCATACCAAAGTCCAGTTATTTGAACTGTATACTTAAATAATATGTATATTTTTATTTCGTAAAGCTAATAATTAATATTATGAACCCTTGAGTGAATAATAAACTAATTCTCTTTTCAAACAGCAAAATCGCATTATTTCCGGTACACCTGCTTCGTCTGGACAATTTCCCTGGCAAGTGATATTGAAATTAGATCCTCAGGACGATTTGCTTTGCGGTGGTTCGATTATTTCCACAATATGGGTACTCACTGCAGCACATTGCACCTATGGACAATCTTCTATGTTTCTAATGTTTGGTACCGTGTTATTTAACAATCCTAATGCATTGAATATGACTGCAACACAATTATATGTTCATCCCAATTATAACGATGCAACTCTAAACAATGATGTGTCACTTATTAAACTACCAACAGCATTAACATTTAGCAAAACCATACAACCCATACAGCTGGTGCCAAGCTCGTATGCAAACTTCAATTTCATTGGCCAAATAGCCATGATCGCTGGTTTTGGTTTAACTGATGATGAAAATTTGGATTTTTCAAATAATTTACTCTATGCACAAGTTGAAATTATTAATAATAACAACTGTGAATCGGTATTTGGAGCAAATGTGGTTATTAGTTCAACATTATGTGCTCAAGGTGAAAATGGCACCGATATGTCAATCTGTAGCGGCGATTCTGGTGGACCATTAATAACAACAGATCTAACTGGCACGTGGATGCAAATCGGAATAAATTCATTTGTTGCAGAAGATATGTGCACTGAGGGTTACCCGTCGGGTTACGCACGCTTAACCTCATTCCTGGGTTACATATCGCAGGTGACGGGCATAGCTTTTAATAGCACTTGAAAAGTACTTGTCTTGAAAAAAAGAAATAAATTTGGCTATTTTAATACAATACTTTTTTTATTTTTTTTTTAAACAAGAATAATGGACAGGCTGTGCATATTTTAGGTGTGAAACTTCAAGAGCACTTGAGTTGGGTTTTTTTCTTAATAGAAAGCTACTGAAACTAAATTTAAATAAAACATCGATTTCTATCAGAGTAGAAATACGCTTTACATGAATATCGGTACTGCAGCGAATCTCTATAGAGACTGACACTTTTTTCTGCTCTTTAATTGCTTCTCGGAAAAACTTGAAATTTTAGCCTGATAAGATACGAAAGAAATTGAGAACCAATCAATTGAATTTGAAATGCACATATACATACATATATAATTTATATGCGGGTATTTATCAGATACTGCTGCTAAAATCTGTAGTGCAGCAAATAAATTAAGGGGATTTACTGATGTGTTTATTTGGTATTATGGGAGTAATTGGTTTGCTAAAAACAACATAAATTGCTTTTAATTTGAGCGCGTGCACAGTGTATTAAAACACAAAAAATTTAGAATTCGATATTTTTATCGCGATTATTTATAAGCTTTTAATTTAAAATAAGTTAATTGTAAAAACAAATATTTTTAAAGCAACCTTCTAAATATGAAAGAAATCGGGCCATAAATACTTTGGGGCTACTCTGTAATGCGATGCGATAGCAAAATTATCCCAAAACTTGGTGCAAATCGTATCCCAATCTTGTCAATGCACAAACATTTTTCGTTATCCCAACTACGACCAACAATTTGTACAAATTTCTCAATAGAAGTTGGCTGTATTTTACCAATCGTGTGACTACAAAAAAAAGGGATCCTAATAAATACGGGGTTTTCAAATATCTCGACTCCAGCCCCACCTATCGGTTTTACTCGTATTTCATATTGCATTGTCATCAGGTTCTGAGCCAACTGTGAAGTTTCAAGTCTCTAGGTCATCGGGAAGTTGGTCAAAAATTGATTGCAAGATTTGCCCCTAACATACATACATACAGAACAAGTTAAATAAAAGCTTGTAAAACCGGGTAACTTTTGCGAAAAGACAATAACAGCCGGTAAAGCTTGGCTGATTATTGTTAAAATTAATAAAAATTTGTATAGGAATGTATGCATGTATACATGTTCTTACTAATGACAAAAGTAATTATTTTGACAATATTGCGACGTGTTTTTCGTTCAGTTCTTTAGTGGAAAATCCGCTAACGAAATCATTCAAT